TCTCAAAATGAGAAAAGTATGAGCCGCTTTTTCCTTGATTTCATGGGTCATGTCCATGAAGTTAGTCCTCTGCACGGTCTTAAAGGTTGCAACCAGTCTACATTTGCACCGTACAGACTCACTTCTGATGCCCCTGAGTACATTTTCGGTACCACGTTTCTCAATCTAGGCGTTTTTCTGCACATTTCTGGTGATTTTCAACCCACTTCCGGTGATTTTGAGTCCACTAGGAGAATGTCCTTGATAGCATTTTTAAAGCCCTTTCGTTCCATATGTGTATGCGTCCATGTGTGAGGAATAGCAGGCACGGGAGGAATTTTGTACTTAAAAAGCTTAAAAAACTTCATGTTTGAGGGCCATTTAGTCCCGGGGTCGCTGGTGGTCGCAGCATTTGCCGATGGATTATCAAACTTTGGTGCCAGGACTACTGAAAACCGCCCACCAGAACCCAGCCAAACCCAGCCATTTTAATTCCGGCCCTCGCAAAATTTCGAATTTTACAAATTCTGCTAAGTTGTATTAACAAGTTTTCCGGATTGGACATTAGTCCTATAGAAGTACTAAAACAACATCCCATAGTGCAAAAGAAAGCCTGATTAAAGACCTTTAAAATGATAAATAAGGTTTGAGGGTTCGGCCTCGCCTTCGCAGAGATATCGAGGACGGACTAAACCTCGACGAAGAACGTCAACAAACTTCTAGTAAAGTTTGACAAATTCATCGACTTTGGGAGCCTCCTTTTAGTCAGAGGCGACCGATCAACGTGTTTTTTGACTTGATCCTTGTCAGATGCGCGTAAGAGGATAGTTTAAGCCACACGGGAGCTCAATCAAACCACTTTCGTTTTTCTGAATTTTTTCCGCATTTTCGGGATTCTAGATCATAGTGCAATGCCTGCCGAAGGCAGGCTAGCGCCGCAGGCCAAGGTAGGTACGCCAGGCGCGGATTGGAGGAACAGGCCGCGAGACATCGCGAAGCCTGTTACGACAAGACGCGGTCTGGCGTAAACCTACCTTGTAATTAATGCAGATAAATCAATATAGTTTAATCCACTAGTTTAAACTAAAAGGGAGAAAGGCTTTTTAGGTATTACTAATAACATTGCGTATTCATAAGTTCAGTAACAAGGAGATATCGAATGGTAATTGAAGTATTTGTGAATCGTATTAAGCAATTCAATGCTGGCTGTTAAATGTTACTCGACTGAGTAACAGGGTCAGGGTTCATGGCATGACACCATGAACAGGATACACTCTTAAAAAACCTAACAACTGAAGACATATACTTTCAACTAGAATTACATGATTTAGGACCAAAATTTTCCCGGTGTTTAATTGCTTCCTGCAGTATTTGGTGTGCTGATCACGAAAATGACTTCCAATTTCATCTCAGACCTTTACTTTTCCAAATATTTACCTATTTCACACCAAAATTTTTACATCGAGTTTTACATAGTTTCCTGCAGTTTTTGGTGTGCTGATCACGAAAATGACTTCCAATTTCATCCCAGACCTTTACTTTACCCAAAATCTACCAATTTCAGACCAAAATTTTTACATTGAGTTTTATATAGTTTCCTGCAGTTTTTGGTGTGCTGATCACGAAAATGACTTCCAATTTCATCCCAGACCTTTATTTTCCCAAAAATTTACCAATTTCGGACCAAAATTTTTACATCGAGTTTTACATTGTTTCCTTCAGTTTTCAGTAAGATAATCACGAAAATGACATTAATTCCGGCCCTTTCATTACGGAAGACCCTGTATTGGCCTTACTTTATTCTTCACAATCTTCTACAAGAATACAGACGCATCGCTCGCCTACTACGCGCCCAAACAAAACGGCGCGTACCCCTAGTATACTGGGGCGTGAAGGAAAGCGGGGCTCGTGCTACATGCTTTAAAAACAGAGGACTGAAATTAGTCACTTTTCCGTAATTTTCAGCTTTCTACCCTAACATAACGGTCAATCTGACATTAAAATGGACATCATTCGATTCTTCATGACTTTTTACCCCTCTATCTTTGTTGCATTTTTTGAATCTGAACCTTTTTTTTAGATTTGATCGCTTCTTGGGTTTATATTGTTGAGCGTGGGATTTTAATGCCTTTACGGGGCACATTGGTGACACTGCAGAGATTTCGTAAAACAGTCATTCTATGAGAAGTAGCAAATCTAATGGCTTGATATTTTATTCATAACTTAAGCATCCATGAAATTAAACAAAATTTGTAACTGAAGCAAGAAGGATGATGAAAAGGGGGTTGAAATAGGGATGTGCGAATCAAGGGTTTTCATTTCGAATCGAATCTTTAAAAAAAGTTTCGAATCGAACTCATATCGAATCTGAAAAAATTTGTAAAATCGAATCGAACTTTTAAAGTTTCAAAGTCGAATCGAATTCGAACTGAAACTAAGAAAAAATAGTGCCTTTCCAAACACATTTTTTGTAATAGAGGAAGGGCATAAAGTAGGAATAAACAAGGTAGGTTTACGCCAGACCGCGTCTTGTCGTAACAGGCTTCGCGATGTTTCGCTGCCTGACCCTCCAATCCGCGCCTGGCGTACCTACCTTGGCCTGCGGCGCTAGCCTGCCTTCGGCAGGCAATGGCTTGTCCATTGTCGGTTCTAACTTGTTGCATGCTGGGGGGCTCCGCCCCCAGACCCCCCTTCATTCTAGGTAGGGTTGCTTCATCTACAGATAACATGATCTTGACCCTTGTAACCTTTGAACTTATCGAAGCCGGGGGGCCCCGCCCCCCAGACCCTCCCTTCTTCAAGACAGAAGGCATCCTGCCTGCAGAAAACTCGATTTTTCGCCGTTTTTTAGGTGTTTTTCGGCTATAAAAACTGAACCAGTTGAGCTAAGATGGTGAGACTTCGCGTGTGCCGAGCCAAGGACATGCCTAAACAGTGTGCCAAATCTCACCGTGATCGGCCAAGCCGTTCAGGAGGAGTAGTGCGGACAGACAGACAGACAGACAGACAGAAAAAACTTTTCAACCCCACTGGAGTAACAGGCTTCGCTGTCGCTCAGCCAATCAGGAATTTGCAAATCTGCTGAAGAAATACTTTGAGAATTGCAGAAGGATACACCCACAACAAACAACTTGAAATGCTCAAAATACTCCTCCTTATTCATTATTCTTGAAAATAGAGGCAATGCTACATACAAAAGAAAATTCCTGCAAACAGAAGCTTTCAAAATGACAGTTTGTCAAAAGCAACAAACTCTCTCTGAGCAAAATGTGGCAAGTCCACTGATAACAAGGTAGGTTTACGCCAGACCGCGTCTTGTCGTAACAGGCTTCGCGATGTCTCGCTGCCTGTTCCTCCAATCCACGCCTGGCGTACCTACCTTGGCCTGCGGCGCTAGCCTGCCTGCGGCAGGCAATGGCTTGTCCGTTGTCGGTTATTTTTTAACTTGTTGAATGCTGGGGGG